AGATGTAGTACATCACCTGTACCTACCTCACAGGTATCCTGGTAGATGTAGTACATCACTTGTACCTACCTCACAGGTATCCTGGTAGATGTAGTACATCACTTGTACAAAGACCTCTTCATCCACATCATGGAGGGATATGACAGGAAGCTGGGGGTCACACAGGGGGTCAGATTGGGGGTCAGATTGGGAGTCTGTAAGGGTCTCGCTCTCACAAAAGTGGTCTTGTAGTAAGGCTTTGAAGTAATCGCTGCGACCACAGAAGAATGCCTGGAAGGAAGAAATATCATTGTTAGTTTTTAAAAAATGTCAACAATAATGACAATGAATTGAAATACAAGGTTTTAGAAAAAAACAGTCACACAGAACAAGATCAGTTGTATAAAAACAATGGCATATTGGAGTAACCTACTCATTCACCTGCTCTTGCTCTGTAAGAGCTTGGTCTCTTCATCAAGGTTAAATAAATAAAGGAGCCACTTACACAACCTGGAGACCATTGAGAGCATAGAAGTGAAGAGGTTGTGACCTCCATTTCATCAGTATTAGAATAAATTTTTATTATGTTATAAAATATAACTATATGAATCAAAACTTTCACTTAACAAAGAGAATTAGACTTTAAGGAGAACCCATATAGTTTGTTGCTTGGAAGCTCTAAAAGTTAATTGTTTTTCAGATGTTGTTGTTACCTTTACGATACAGTGCTCCATGACATACCTTGTGCACCATATAGTGATGACCCTGTATGGAAAGACAGAGATCTGGGTACGTCAGCAATCTTTCAGAAGGAAATGGGAGCTCACCATCAGCCTGAAAACAATTTTAAAAGATTATATAGAATTATTATATGTATTTAGATCTACATGTAGCTACTGAATTGGAACCTCATCTGCTTCATCTGTCTAACAGTAGTTGTTTTTATCTTTAGACTTTTGAACACAACAGCTGAACATTAAATCCACCATCAACTACAGGCATTATAAACAAAATTGACATTTATAATGTGGATCTGCAGATCTAAACTGGTGATTTCCAATGTGTCTGTGTGTTTGTGTGTATGTTTGCTTGTGCGTGTGTGTGTGTGTGTGTGTGTGTGTGTGTGTGTGTGTGTGTGTGTGTGTGTGTGTTTGTCACTTCATGTGTACATGCATCCATGCACATGTGAGTGCACACATACCACTTTCTAGTGTATATGCATGCATGCCTGGGTTCATGCATGTGTACGTACATGTGCGTGTAATATGTGTGCATACAGCGCATGCTTACAATACACATTTCCTGTGGCAGAGCGTGGTCAGCCAGTACACCAAGTTCCATACTTAGAGTATTAGAATTGAGTAATGGCTCGATTACAATCTGGGTCACATTCACTCCAGGCTTGGTAGACTCTAAAAAAAAAAGAAAATGATCATCATAGATTTTACTCGTAACTGAAAATTCAACAAGGAAGTTTCAAAACAAATGACCATTACGGTTATTAGTAATATTACTCCATATTTTCAATGGGTAAAATTTATCAAACTTTCAGATACCGGGGTACATAATTTTATAATCACAAAAATTACATTTCTATATAGCATATGTGGTACTTTTACTGCATGGAATAGAACTATAGAGTACCTTCTTTTAAATTTTATTGCTACCATTCCATAGAAATCATTCCCTGAGGTTACTCACCAAAACTAACAACTTTCTTTAATTTGTCCTCCATTTCTTCCATTAACTGTTCCAGTTTGCACTGCTTTGCCACACGGAGTATGTCCTCCACTTGGTCTATATGGCATTCTATTTGAGCTGAAATACAACATGGAAGAGTTCATAAGGACCTGAGAAAAATAGAGGATGCAGCACTATCATGGTTGGGGCATTTCCTTAGGTTTATTCGAGTATGAGAGAAACTGTATTCTTGCAGGATATAACCTTTTGGTGCACTGGTATATGGGCAGGAATCCAACAAAATTGCTGCAGCGTTACATCTGATTTCATCAGACAATTCTTACTGTAGAAGTCAGAGAGTTGTCAGCCCAGCAGCAGAACACCTCACAGCTGCAGAACACGGGATGGCCTCTTATGGATTTGAACAATTTTCTTTTAAAATATGACATTTGTTATAAGAAAAAAAACTTAAAGTCTAGACTAAATTAATTTAATAGCCCTTCACCTACCTGTATAGAGATATTGCAAGACTGCCTTAAAGGCCCATGGATATACCTAGAAATAAAGGAACAATTTTCCAGTGTAGTAATTTTTCCTTACCAAGACATTGGAGATACTGAAGTTTCATTATATATACTGCTTTGTAGTTTTCAGTCATCTGAAAACCACTGTATACATAAGTATTCATCTCCACCAAATTCTCATTTCATTATCTTACTTTTAAACAATCTTCACAAAGCTATATATTACGATATAAAAATTCATGTATTAAGATGGGTGACCATGTTCTTTTTCTCTCTTTTTAACCAGAATTGTCTTGATACACTAGTGCCCCTGCAATGGTCTTTATCTGCACTTTCAGATCAGAAAATGATCTTAGATGGTTTTTATCATTATAGAAATGGTCTAACCATGGACTGACTCTGCTTTTCAGATCAAAAATGATCTTAACCTGGATGAGTATGGCTATTGGACTGACTTTTAAGTGGTCAACCAAGTATCTCCCCTCACAATGGGGGATACCTCCCCTTACAATGGAAGATTGTGTGAGGGGAGAAAACAGCATCACAACTTACCCTGAAGTCAGTCCTATAATTATAGTCTTACTCATTGATTAAGACCATGTAAGGTCCTTTGTTATCAAAAAATTACAGATAAAGGCTTCAGGCTACAAGAATTCACCCTCTCCAGTAATTTATTGAGTGTTCATAACCAACCTGTTTGCTGCTCACCTATTCCTTATACCTTGTTTTAGGAGTTAAGGTAAATTTCACACAACATTTACAGAACTCACCAGTGCATGAGTAATGTGGATCTCCTTTCTGTCCTTCCACCTGGTCTTGAAGAGCTCAGCAAAGTATTTTGACCTGGCCGTGAGTATACACCTGTGTGCTGGCAGTGACACTCCATGCACATAGAATATGATGTCTGCATAGAATCCTCTATCTGACAGCCTGATAAATGAGTTAATAATGTTTCAGTGCAGTCAGACCTGAGAGTAATAAATTATTTAATATTGTATCAGTGCGGTCGGACCTAGAAGATAAATAATCAAGAAGGGGGGGGGGGAGGGGTAACATCCAAAACTGTAGGTACTGTACTTTAGGTAAATACTAGGTGATTCCTGATATATTCCCTTTTACACACAGTACACTCAAAATAAATTTAAAACTGCATGGGCATGGAGTAACCACATCCATCTATTGGCCTTTGTTCATTCAAAATACGCACATAAAATATGACACTAATTTAGAGTATATTAGTGAGCTTTCTAATACAGAAAAAAATAAATAAACCTAATAAACAATTAGAAAATTAGAAAAATAGAAAAAAGGAATACAAGTCATCATGTTACTAATTGCTTTGAATGTTCTTGATACTTACTTCCTCAGAAATTCATCATATTCATGCCTTCGTATGGTTTTACTACTAATAACTTTGTACTTCTTCAGCAGGTTCCTTATCTCATCTGTCAGAGCACCATAAAGACAGCGCTCACCATCAAATGTGTGTGCTTCACATTTAGCACCTGAAATGTGATACCACGGTACTTCACATCTTCTGAATAATATATTTTATACCAGTTGTGCATTAAAAAAGGTGTTCCTATAACATTCTGTTCTGCATGAAATGTCATTCTGTACTTGAGAAAAAAAAAACATATTCAATATATTGTTTTTAATGCACTGACTAGTAATTATAAAAGGTTCATAAATACAGTTTATATCAGTGACAGATTGTGAGATGAAGGGTGAAGTGGGATGGATGGGGTGCATCTTGCTTTCACACCCCCCCCCCCCCCATCTCAGTTTTGAAGTTATACGTATTTCTATAACTACAAGTACAACAAATCAATATTTTACCCCCCAGAAATGAAAATCTCTTTGCAGTGTGGACTCACCATTTTCTAACATATATTTCACCAAATCCTCATGGCCACAGAGGCAAGCATAATATCTGGAACAACACGAAGATACTAGTATCTATATATTACAAAGACAAAATAATGTAAGATTCTGCAGAAAATTCAAACCGATGTTTTGATGACCATTCACCGTGATTATCATTTTATAGATAATTAAACTAATTTTTGTCCCATGGCATATCTTTGTACTTAACAACACCATAAATCTTATAAGAAAATGGTTTTTATTTTAGAGACATTTGTATAATGTAAAGTAAATTCTACTGTGTATAACTTTATCATCATCTAAAAAGTATTTGTAACAAGCCACAATTAGCATTTGTTACTTGCAATAAATAAATCAAGAAATATCTGTATGTTACATTGGTTTTCGTCTTACGGTTTACAATTCTCAGGAATCATGGAGTTCATTGTACTCTAGTAGGGGACTTACATTTTTTGGCAATATGTAAGTGCTTGTAGTGTTGGCAATAAATTGGTAAATATAGTCCTAATAATTTGTAGATGTAATTATTATACTTACAATGGAGTACTGTCCCATCTGTCTCGTACATTGAGTTCCATCTCCTTCTGCTCCACAAGATGCCTGTGTCCAAACAGCAAAACACATTATATTTATAAACAAAATCCATCCACTATTACTGTGTATCTTTATCTTTAAATACAGATTTTCTCTTATTCCATTGAGATACCAGTGGATGCATGTACATGTAAACTGAGATACTAGATATATTTTAATTTTTTTCCAGGATTTTTTTTTACTTGGACTTAAAATATTAAGTACTGACATGCTATCCATCAAACACCAGTATAGTACTTGTGATAAGATTGACAGCCTCTAGCACATACTGCAGTAAATATATTCCAAAAACCTTTAGTAGTAAACATAGTAACTATATGAGAATAATAGAGAAATAAATAGTTAAATTAGTATATTGTACCAGCACTGGGTGTCTTTGATCTACTAGTACTACTTATACATCAATTTATATGAACATACAACACTGAACAAAAACTTGCCGAAGAAAGAACAGGTTACTGTTATAAATATAAGACCTAATGACAAGCTAGAGATCAGCTAGCAGGAAAATTCATGCGTTAGCACTCCTATTGACGATTCTGATATGTGTTTAGCTGTCTGTGTTTGATGGAGTTTTGTAATATTTTTACAGTACTCACTGGACTTTGGCTAGGTCACCCCGTTTACAAGCCTGGAACAGTTCATAGGTGTCCATTATGCACCCAGTGTTATCAACGCTGACACAAAACCCCTGCTGTCTTTGAATTTGATGGGTTTACATTTGCAGTGCTCAGAGCTAGGCCAACATCAACAACGCCGGACATATCTGAGGGCCGCTTATAATTTATCAAATGTAAATATTGGAGATTTTGCAATCAGGATCAACCAGGCGTTTAAATCACATCAAAAAAAGATGCCCTTACTTCATGCGTGGAGTGATGCAGGGAGTATATGAGGCCTGTGCACAGAACTTTTAACTTAAATGAAAATAATGTTGTAAGCGGTATGTTAATTTGAGAGGTCAAGGTCATTTTACGTACTACCAGTTGTAATGACAGCCCCAGACGCTTCAACTCCAAACTTTGATTTGCGCATATGTACAATATTTTACAACGCACGGGTACATGTACTGCAGTTACAGCCTACAGGGTATTGAGTACATGTAGATCGATGGTTCATTCACACATTAGAAATCACAATACAAAAGACACTCAAAGCTGAATTAAGATGTTCACTTAATTCATGTTTCACTCAAAGTCAATAAAACAGTGCAAATGGGGGTGTCACCTTCCCACGTTTAAAAGACACAAGATATGGGGCATTTCACTATATTATGACTTAGTGAGATTTCTGACCTTATTGGCCATATTGCAAAAGTCGAGTTTAGTTAAGTCATTTTCACGATGTACCTGCTTAAACCCCCGTTTTTGTAACATACGTTACTGACGCTTTTCTAATTTTTTGTCTTCAACATATATAAAACGAGTTATAAAGGCTGAAAACCCTGGTAATTTGTTTATTATATTGAAAGGTGATGTATATCCAACTTTTTATGCTAATTTGTTTTTCCATCGAAGCATATTAAGTTTTGCTTTTATTTGGTAGAAAAATGTCGCCAATTTTTT